GAAAATAACCCAAAAAAGAGGCAAAACGACACCCCAGAAATCACAATTTTTACCTAAAGAGCCTGAAATTTCCTGGGAAAAGCAGCACCTTTGGACGCTCCCAAAATTCAGCTCCACCCCCTCCCCCCCTGCTGCCATCACCCAAAAAAAAACCCCAAACCAATGGAAAAATAGGAAAAAAACCCAAATTATCAGCTGGGATTCCCCCAGTCCTGCGGGGAGGCCGGAGGGGTGAGAGGGAAGGAGGAAAAATCCAAGGAAAAACAAAACAAAACAAAAATCGAGTATTAAAAATAAAGACAAAAATAAAAATAAAAATAAAAATAAAAATAAAAATAAAAATAAAAATAAAATCAGTCACAGCCCAAATCTGGGACTGGTGAGGTCTGGAGCTTCCAAGGACTAAAAATCAACTTTCCCTGAGGGAAAGCAATCCCATAAATCCTATTTTCTTAAAAATCCTATTTTTTTTTAATCCTATTTTTTTGTAAAAGAACGTTTTCTTTGGAAAAAGTTTAATTTTTTTTTTTAATGCTTTTAATTTTTTTAAAATCTTTTTTTTTTAAGCTTTTTTTAAAAACTTTTTTAAATTTTTTTTTTATTTATTTAATTTTCCTTTTCTCCCTAAAACTACGCCCGGGGAGTCGCCCCTACCTAGAGTCACCTATGGCTAAGAGGTAGATAAAAAATCGGGATTGGTTGTGGATGAGGAATCCTGGGATCATTCCCGGGATCGTTCCTGGGATCATTCCAGGATCGTTCCTGGGATCATTCCAGGATAATTCTTGGGATCATTCCAGGATAATTCTGGGATTGTTCTGGGACCATTCCAGGATCGTTCCCGGGGTGATTCCCAGGATTGTCCTGGGATTATTCCAGGATCATCCTGGGATCATTCCAGGATCATTCCAGGATCAGTCCGGGATTGTCCTGGGATTATTCCAGGATCATCCTGGGATCATTCCAGGATCATTCTCAGATCATTCCAGGATCATTCCCAGGATCATTCGGATCATTCTGGGATCATTCCCAGAGCATCCTGGGATCATTCCAGGATCATTCCAGGATCATTCCAGGATCATTCCCGGCTCCGTGGGCACTGCTGCACATTCCAGACTCTCGGAATCATCTCCCGCTCCCCTCCTGATTCCCGGGATTTCACGGATCCCAAACCTGGAGCAGCAGGGTCCTGGCTTAAGGCCGAGTTTGCTCCTGGAATTCCAAGGAATTCTGGATCCGGATGCGCGTCCGAGGAGCCGATCGCGGATTCCTGAGGATGAATTCCCGCCCTGCTTCCGGTCGATCCCGCGGATTTCCCGGATTTAATTCACCCCGAGAGGCGCCTCTGGCACAGGCCAAGGTTGGATTTCCTCCTGGAATTCCAGGGAATTCTCCATCCCAAGTGAAGCCGGATGAGCCGATGGAATTCGGGGCCGATCGCGGATTCCTGAGGATGAATTCCCGCCCTGCTTCCGGTCGATCCCGCGGATTTCCTGGGATCAGCCGTGGGAGAGGAGCGTTCCCTGCTTGGGATCAGCTCTTCCCGCCCTGAAAATTCCCAAAAAATTCACCCCATTCCCAGGATCCCAAAA